ATTGATGCTAGTGCCCCCTGGTGGTACTGCATATTGATGCTAGTGCCCCCTGGTGGTACTGCATATTGATGCTAGTGCCATTTGGTGGCGCTGCATCATGGCACAGACGCCCCCTGGTGGCCCTGCATCACGGCACAGACGCCCCCTGGTGGCGCTGCATCACGGCACAGACGCCCCCTGGTGGCCCTGCATCACGGCACAGACGCCCCCTGGTGGCGCTGCATCACGGCACAGACGCCCCCTGGTGGCGCTGCATCACGGCACAGACGCCCCCTGGTGTCCTTGCATCACGGCACAGACGCCCCCTGGTGTCCCTGCATCACGGCAAAGACGCCCCCTGGTGGTCCTGCATTGTCATCACCCCCTCCCCCCTCCCTGCCGCCCACGTTGACCTTGGCATGCGCTCGTGTGTCCGTGTGTGTGTGGTTGACCGTCAGCTCTGCGTTGTTTCTACAGGACCAGGGTAAAAAATACACGGGAGCGATGAGCGATTCGCTCTTCAAATCTCCGAAATCGCTCCCGTGAGGCTCAAAATAGCTCCTGTGAAATTTTTGACGAGAGCTATTTTTTCCACATACTTTTAAAAAGAGCTCCTGTGAAAAAAAAAAAGGGAATTTTTTTTCCCTGTTAACAGGACGCTGCAGGACTACCCCGAGGTGGCGATGGACTCGATCGTACACATCACACAGAACATGTCAGCCGCACAGCGTGCCGACGTCACACGAATCCTCTCCACGATGGACATCGGCACCGAGCCAGCCGCGCCCGGCACGCCCAAGTGAGCGTGGCGGCGCCCTCTGTTGTCGGCCGTCCCTCGCCTGGCACACCCAACAGGTGGCAGCACCTGTGCCTCCTGCACTGTGATAGGGGGGTGTCTATATTCAAGCCGGTACGGGAGATTATGGTACGCATATATTTGCTAATATATTGACTAATCGTGCGTCAATAAACTCAATATTCACAGTATGGGGGTGTCTATATTCAAGCCGGTACGGGAGATTATGGTACGCATATATTTGCTAATATATTGACTAATCGTGCGTCAATAAACTCAATACTCACAGAGAGTATAGCTAAGACATGTGTCTATAGGTATCTAGAATTTTAGAAATTTAATCATCTGAAATTTATTTCCGCACACATATATTTGGCATTTGCTAATATATTGAGTAATCGTGCGTCAATAAACTCAATATTCACAGATTCAAGCCAGTACGGGAGATCATTTGCATAATATATTCTAGATACCTATAGACACATGTCTTAGCTATACTCTCTGTGAATATTGAGTTTATTGACGCACGATTAGTCAATATATTAGCAAATATATGCGTACCGTAATCTCCCGTACTGGCTTGAATATAGACACCCCCCTGTGATAGCTACGCTGCCATGTTCCATGTGGAATATGTGTATCTATATTTTATATATATATATATTTGCACAGTATATTGCTGTCAGATGCACTTTGAATTGGTGAGATGTAACATGTAAAATGTCATCTCATTGTCAAGCTGAGTGAGTGAGATTTGATGGAGTCTTGTTTCAATTAAAGTGGAGGGTAGAGGGAGGCAGGGAGGCAAAGCAACAGTGTGTGTGCGAGCGAGCGAGAGCGAGAGAGAGAGCGAGAGAGAGAGAGAGAGAGAGAGAGAGAGAGAGAGAGAGAGAGAGAGAGAGAGAGAGAGATGAGAGAGAGAGAGAGAGAGGAGAGAGAGAGAGAGATGAGAGAGAGAGAAAGTGAAGAGAGAGAGAGAGAGAGAGAGAGAGAGAGAGAGAGAGAGAGAGAGAGAGAGAGAGAGAAATCTACTTACTGAGAGATGTGATGTAAGGAAGGCATTCATTGCAGGTGAAGGTCACAAGGACATAGATGGAGAAGGAAGGTGAAAGGTTAGGTTAGCTACTGGCTAATCATTTACTTGTTGATTGTTATACTTCATAAACTGCCAGATGTTAAATACTTGATGCTACTGTTTATGTAACATTGAATGAACTCGTTACTTGGCATATCACAAGGCTGTTGCTGGATTCAAAGTAACTCATCGCTTTTGCATGAAATAGGAAGCGGTTTTTAATGTAATGTGTGAATGTCTTGTTCGTTTATATTTATTAGTTGCAAGGAAAGAAGAAAGAGGGGTATCCTCTCTTTCCAATATCCGCAGAACACAAGATGACGTACTACTAGAGTGAATGTATGCATTTATAGATACATTCGTTAATTCTCCTAGTCTGTATATTGGCAGTCACAGGGTGAATGCAAGCAGAAATGGTTTCAAGTAAGCGTCTTCACTGTGTGCAAGATGCATTGTTTAGTCAAAGCAGATAGATGTAGTAGGTAGGCTACAGTAGTAGCTGTTGTTGTAGTGGTGGTACACGATGCCAATATTATTTGTGGCTGCACGTCTGGTGAATGAACTTTGCAGAGTTGCACTGTCACACGTGTTGCTGTCATGTGAGCTTCAGAGTTTTTTTTATGAATTGGACATTTACTATTATTGCCGCTCATAGGGTCTATGTCCCCCAGGGTATTGCCGGAGCGCACCCTGGTCACTATTTGATATGGTTAGGGTTAGGATTACGGTTAGGGTTAGGGCTAGGGTTAGGGAGTAGGCGTAGGCGACTCCCTAGACTCGTTAGTTGAGTAGGCGAGGTACGGTCCGGCATATTAAATAGTACCAGGGTACGTTCCGGCAGTACCCTGGGGGACATAGACCCTCTCAGCATTATTGCCACAATGACAGGTAGATTGCCTGTGTAGCATTTACTTAACAGAGCTTGCTTTGTCTATGAGCTGAAAAATGACATGTTTAGGGCTTTCATCCAACTTGTGGTTTGGTAGTTTATACAGTGGAACGCTGGTTGATTTGTGTGTTATGTGTGTGTGGAGATGTGTGAGGTTTATTTACACAGTGGCCTGAAACGTGTGTATGAGATACGTGAAAATGTAAAAGCAGTAATGTCTGTTTGTATGTATTAAATCATTGCTGCTAAAACCAGTTAGTTGAACGAGCAGCTTGTATTTATTTTACGAGATGAATATAAGTTATAATAAAGATATGGACACACAGATACAGGCAATATGCAACATGTTGTCATCGTTTGTGTTGTGTAATAAGTTATCTGTTGATTGTCTTGTCCAAATCAATGTAATTATCTAGTTTATTCTTTCAGATGGACAGTATAGGTGTAAATGTTTCCTATAAAATAATAAATGCTGAAAGTGTACTCGTGCGGTTATGGTTGCATTCTTTTTGTTACTACTGTGCATTGCAACTGCCATTTACATAAATTTAGTAACACGGTCAGGGGTGTATAGAGGGGGGGGGGGTCGTGAGGGTCGTACGACCCCCCAAAAATTTCAAAAGGTCACATTTTTTCCAAAGATAAATGAATAAACATAATGAAAAAACATAAATGAAAAAGCATAATTGATCATGCAGGTACCAGCAATGAGTCCAAGGATTCTGACTAGAAGCGACACTGAAATGATTGGTTTTGTGTATTTTTTTGTTTTGATTAAATTGTATTGACATTTTAATCACATCTTGCTGTTATTTTATTGTGAAAAGGTCCAAAAAATTATGATCACGACCTATACCCAGAAAAAATCCTGGATACACCCCTGACGGTAGCTATTGATATTGCAATACATGTAGTTATTATACATTGACATACTATTACCATGCAGGCCCGTATCTTCTGTGTGAAGGGCCGGGGGGGGGGGCAGCTGCCCCCCTAGATTTTGGAGCAAAATTAAAAAATAAGCTCAGCTAATAATCGTAAATAACCCCAACGTGATTTTTTGGGTCACTTATCTGTGAAAGCTTTGTCTGAGACTCACCCCCACCATATATGGATGTCGATCAAGAGCTGCGCCCATCGCTTATCATTACACAGTTGAGTCATGAAATTTTGCCCCCCCCCCAGGAATTTTCTCAGCCTACGTCCGATTACTAGACTATATCCATATCTTTTGGGGGTATTATTAATTTATTATTATTATTATTATTATCATTATATCTTTATTGCATGTACATGTACAAATACACATACATGTACTGAAGACAGTCTTTTTCATGGAGAACAAATCTGATAGATGCAATAGGCTGGTATAATGCAGGCTGCAGGGTAAGGCGCGGAAGATTTCCAAGCACCAGAATTCCAAGATATAGTCAGAGCATATAAATCAACGAGAAATAAGTGAAAATAAAGAATTTATATGCTCTGAGTGTAGTTCTACCCTGCAATCCAGCAGTATAGGAGTGTAATTTCATCTGCATTAGCGCTGTGTTGCAGGGTACGACTGGTGGTGTCCTCTATCGGTTGCCGTGACGCAATAAATGGCAACAGCAGCGACTGGAGTTGTACGCGGAAATATATATAATCACTGCTACTACAGCTACCTGGTAAGATTAAGTTTGTTTAACTAAAGAAAATTGTAAGAGGTTATATTAGGTAAACTTCTATGAATTGTATTTTGCGAGCATGTTCTTGCTTATTGTATTATTAAGAAAATCTCGGTTTGAACGCCAGCTCAACTCGCCACTGGCATTGCCTCCGTACGTTACATGATTGTTTGTTTACTAAAACTCGATAGTGATATCGCCGGTGTCGTTGCATATCTAATCTCATAAGTCACATTATGATAAGTCACATTTGATAAGTGACATTAGATATTATCTCATAAGGCTACGGGAATGTACCAAAGAAGGAGAGGGTCAAAGTTGATCAAATTCATAGATCAACACCGCGGATTAAAAATACACTTAAAAAGACTAGCTCTATAGTAGTAGTACTACTACTACTAGTACTAGTACTAGTAGTGCTGATAGGGTCTATGTCCTCCACTAGTAGCTCCACTATGTCCTCCCTAACCCTAACCCTAACACTAACCCTAACCATATCAGATAGATGGTTATCAGGGTACGTTCCACTATACCGGACCGTACCCAGGGTACGTTCCGGCAGTACCCTGGGGGACATAGACCCTATCAGCACTAGTAGTACTGGTAGTACCGTAGTACACTACGGTATTTGATATAGAACCCGTAGTAGGAACTATAGCTCTAGTACTATCACAGGCACTTGAAGCGTTTCAATAAAATATATACGGGTCGTGTGCTGTGCACGGCGACAGTTAAATATGTATATATATTTAACTGTCGCCGTGCACAGCACACGACCCGTATATATTTTATTGAAACGCTTCAAGTGCCTGTGGTCCCGCGCGTACAGTTTCCGCTGGTTCGGCAAACTGTAGGCGGGTGATAGTTACTAGAGCTAGGTTAAGGTTAAACCGACCAGGCTCTCCGACTGTTACACGTTACCAACGTAGTGTTAAGCGAGAAGGGAACTTGTGGCTAGGTTAAGGTTAGATGGGTTGAGTTTAGGCCTGGCCTAGCTATTACTATTGCTCATAGGGTCCATGTCCGCCAGGGTACTGCCGGAACGTACCCTGGGTACGGTCCGGTATACCGGAACGTACCCTGGTCACTATTTGATATGGTTAGGGTTAGGGTTCGGGTTCGGGTTAGGGTTAGGGAGTAGGCGTGGTACGGTCCGGCATATTAGATAGTACTAGGGTACGCTCCGGTATACCTGACCGTACCCAGGGTACGTTCTGGCAGTACCCCGGGGGACATAGACCCTCTCAGCATTACTATTCGTATTATAATACCCACATTTGTCCAATGTAAGTCTAGTTTGTTTTTAAAGCAGTTGACCGTCTTGGCCTCGACAACAAATGTTGGCAGTCCGTTCCATGCATTCACCACTCTTTGGCTGAAGAAGTGCTGTCGCAATTGCAGCCTGGATCTATTTTTTAATAGTTTCAGGGGAAAACCCCTGGTGGTTCCGGCTGCCGGTGTGAAAAATTGGTTGCTATTAATGTTTTCTTTGTCTGTTAAA